AGTACGTTGTTGAGGGTCAGTTCTTTCCCTGATGTCATCTTCAAGATCACTTTTCCTTGTCCAGCCACAGTAGAAGTAGAAGAATTTCCTATAAAAAGTTGTTCACCATTTGCAGCCTCATTGTAGGTAGTGAACATCTTCTTGTCCGCACAAATATGATGAGTTGCCCTAGTGTCAACCCACCATTCCTCGGGATTTCCAACCAAATTAGCCTCAAACACCACACCAGAGAGGTTGATGTCATTCATTCCGTCAGAGATGTAATCTAGTTCAGTTACATTGGCCTGATTGGTAGTCTTCTTGCTTGTACTTCCATGATCATTTTTAGGGCGGCGGCAGTCAGAAGCTCGATGTCTAGTCTTGCCACAATTATGGCATTTTTCTTTGAACTTCTTGTTACTATCGCCTTGTTTAGGACCATCTCCAGTAAACTTCCTCTTTTTGTTATGTGGTTTATGAACTTGTTCAACCACATTAGCCTTGGACGCAATGAGATTTTTCCCATTCCTTTTTTCAGCCTTTCGGTTATCTTCCTCAATTCTTAGTCTTACAATAAGTTCATCCATGGTCATCTCTTTGCGTTTATGTTTTAAATAATTTTTAAAATCTTTCCAAGCCGGTGGTAACTTTTCCACTAAAGTAGCGACTTGGAAAAACTCGCTTAGAGACATACCCTCAGAATGAATATCATGTAAAATTAATTGAAAACTTTGAACTTGAGAAATCACCGTTTGAGAGTCTATTATAACAAAGTCTAGAAATTTACCGACAACAAATTTCTTCGTGCCGGTATCCTCTGTCTTGTATTTCTTCAACAAAGAATCCCATAATTCTTTTGCTGTTTTCAGAGGACTGTAAACATTATACAGCATGTTGTCAAGGCCATTGAGGATGTAGTTTCTGCACAGGAAAGCTGAATGTTTCCAAGCATCTATAGCGGCAACAACTTGCCGATTACTTTCACCATCTTTAAGTGCTAGAGCCTCTTTATGGAGAAACCCAAATTAAGAGTTGTAAAATAGAACAACATCTTCTGCTGCCATCTCTTAAACTCAGTATCGCTAAATTTTTTCGGTTTTTCTCCATGATTTATTGGTACATAAACATGGTTCTGGATAGGGACCGGTGTTGGTGTAACAATCGGAGTACCACTTCCAGTTACAATTTCAGTAGCAATAGCCATAATTTTTAATTACAAAAATCAGAAAAATTAAAACACAAATTAATTTTCTAGTTACTAAAACCAGAAAATAAATTATTACACAAAATAATTTTATTTTCCTTGTTACTAAAACTAGAAGAATAAAATACCATAATAATTTTGTGTAACACAAATTAATATTCTGCAATTGTTAATGACACCAGTATATTACTACTAGTTGTCAAAGAAAAGAGATAGTATATTACTATTATCTGTCAAATAGCATAACCACTATTTGTTTTTCTAACCAGAATATGTCTTTATGAAATCACAGAAAATTAAATAAAATGAAGATACCAAAAAATAATCTGTCTTAAGATTGTTGGACAATCTTCACTGTATTTAAATAGATTAAATTCTGTTGTGTACTAAACAACAACAAGAATATAAAGAAATAAAGGAAACGAGAGAATTTGTTTGATTACAAAAATCAAACTAGAAATAAATAAATAAATAAATAAATAAAAACAGATTTTATTTTGTTACAAAAAGAAAATTAAAATCTGATTTAATAAACAAATAAAACAGAATAATAAATTAAACAACTTACTTGATTAATTTCTTCTAATAAATATCTGATCAAGTCTAGTGTTTAACACTGTGTCCTTAAGACAGATTCGTCCTCTCCACGGTACTTTCATAATATGGACTTCTATCTCCCAGGATGAAATGATCAACTACAAACAATAGCAGCACTATAAATTATTTGCCTAACGAACACACTAAGTGTTTATACTCTTTCTCACAAAAATTAAATGCAGCAAAATAAAGAATAAATTTGCAGAGGTGAAGTACGAATTTTCTGAATGTGTTAAACATCAAATGAGGGCTGTCCTATTTATAGATGTAGTGGTGGTTGCAGGTTTTGAATTAAACAGGTGCAAACCTATTTGAACAGGTATGAAACTTGTTTGGTTTTGAATTTAAATAGATTTGAATCTGTTGGGTTCAAAATTCAAACAGATAAAAAACGGAAAGGGCCCTGGGACCAGTTTATTTCTGGAAATAATTTGTATTCTGGATTTTATTTTATCAAAAAATAAAATTAAATTTAAATATTTTTGGCCCAAAAAGATAGGTATTGGGCCGAATAAGCCCGCCCAACCGATCGGTGGCGACGCGCGGGCGCGTCTAACCCATTTTGCCCATAACCTCCCTCTCTAAAACACTTGGGTACCCCTTGGGGCATACCCCAAGTTCCAATCCCATGCCTTATAAACTCATTCAAAACTTCCCACCAAATCAATGTGGGACAAGCCTTATTCAAACCTTTAAGGATTTTTCACAAAAACTCCATTTCTATGGAGCATACTTTGGCTTCAATTTCCCATTCACTCGGCAATGGTTTTGAGCAACCAAATATACCACGTGAATCACAACGCAGCATAGAACGCGTTACCACTTTGACCCGCGAAAATCGACGCACGGGGTCCACCTAAAAAATAGACCAAACTTAGGAAAAAATTCTGTTATTAACGCAGAATTTCTAAACCATTTCCAACAGAAAGTAATAAAAAAAATAGAAAATTTATACATAAAATCCATATAAAATGATATATCAAAATGATATTCATTCATTTCAAACCAAAAGGCTTATGAAAATCATTTGTTATTTCAAAACTATTATGGACACATCATTCTGGTAAATTTTTTTGTACATAAATTTTGTTTACAAAATTTCAAGCGTACAAAATCTAATTACACAATCAGACACAACCCTCTTACATCAGATGAAATTTATTAAAAAAGATGTGTCTAATTTTATAATCAAATTTTATACATGTAAAATAAATATTGCATATGAGATTTTAATACATCATTTGTTACCTTTTGCTATAAGCATACATCATAAGACCTTATTGTAAAGCTAGTCAAACAAGGCAATAGTATAAAACTGTGCTAAGCCTAGAAGAAGAAAAAACTCTACGCCAAGCAACAAGCCCACAACTCTATCATATATGTATGATGTCCCACCATACACTTCTTAGACGGTTAGCTCAATACCAGAAAAATAAATCTAAGTCTGAAAGCTCCCTCTCATCTTCTCATACTAGTACCACCCAACCCCTTCTCTCTTCAATTCAAACGTCAACAACAACAACAACAACAACCCAACATACTTGCTTCAAATCTAATCCTAGTACTCCTACCAAATTTGATGATTATCATCCTCAAATCCCTTCCATCCCATGTTGTTCTAACATTTTTTCAAGGCCTTGGAGCAGGTTAAAGCTGTGGTGCAGCTCGGTTTCCATGGCGAGTCAGATGGATTTGGTGGTTCGCCAGCCTACCAAGATTAATGTAAGTTTTCTTTAACACCCAATTTTGATTTCTTAACCGACTATGACTAACTCAGTTGATCAGAATTCTTGCCCACTAGGAGATCATGAATTCGACCACCCCTCCTGATGTTGCTTAAGGCTTGAGATTTGATATGGGGTATATGTCAGACTACTTGGAATGCGTCATTTATGTCACGCTTGTTTGACGGATTAGATTAGATAGAATTGTTAGCGATGGAATGATTAATAAAAAGATTGTTAATATGTGGATTGTTAGTGAGGAGAATAGGTAAAAGTGTGTTTGTTTTGATGATATAGTGTTGAATATAGTTAGTGATGAAATTGTTAAATTACTTTTTTTAAAAATCTAAAAAATAATAATTTATGTATTAAAAAATATTTAAAACAAATAATTTTTTTTTTTTAAAAAAATAATAGGTTTCAATTGCCAAAAAAAAAAAAATGCACTTCCGGTCAACCGATCGGATGTTGGGGGTAGACGACCAAATAGACCTAATCGGCTTACTATTTTCCTAATTCTACGCTTTTCCTAGCCAAGCTAATCCCTTATTGAGGGGGATTACTAAACCGCTCACATTATCACGCAGCTCTTCCAAGTCATCACTAAACATGCTATGGGTGGAACCCACAATCATCCTAGTGTAGTTCTGCCGCTGAAACGGTAACACAAACATGACCTTAGAGATGAAGTGTTTTTTTTTTTTTTATTTAAATTTCTTATTATCTCAATGTATTTCTTTATTTTGATTTAATAAAATTTTCATTTTGCTGATAAAAAAATTAGTGAATGGTTGGTGTGGTGAGAGCATGTTTATTCATTTATGATTTAACCATGAATTCGAAGGTTGGTTTATGGGCTTGTTTGAGAAGCATGATTTTTAGCCAAAAAGTTATAACAAATTGTAAAATTATTTTCTTTATTTTTTTAAAACATTTTCCTAAAAAATCACTAAAAAATAGATTTCCAAATGAGCCCTAAATATGAAGTTATCAAGGAAGAGAAGAAAAAAGTGGTGGTTTAGATGATGTTTTCTTTCATTTTCTTCTAAGCTATTTGCTCCTCTATTTTCTCTAACACAACATTTTGAATTTTTTTCCCTTGTGGGTTGTTGTTGAAAAAAAAACATAAGTGATTTGTGGTGGTGAAAGCATAATTGGAAGGGAAGAAAAAACAAAAATTTGTGGTTTAATGGTTTCTTTCATTTTCTTGTTTATTTTCTGTTCACTTTCTTATGTTATGATTTCTCTGTGGTGATAGAGAAAGAAGAAGCTTGGTGGGCAGCAGAAGAGAGAGGAGCTTGAAAGAGAGGTATGGCAATGATTCTTTGTGTCTTTTGATTCATTTCTTTTGCAATGTTGCTTTGATAATTGATGCACACAAGCACATCAATAGGTGATGGGTTCCCTACCTGGTCTATCATTTTTTGCTTCCCGTCACAATGATGTTTATTTATGAATTTGGCTCTTTTTTAGAAAATAATTGTTGGGTCAAATTGGAGCATTGATTTATTACCCGTTGAAAGGATAATTTAAAAATCTATGGAAACTCACTTTGAAGGACAATTTCACTTCGCAAGTTCTTATGTTCATTTTTTTTTTTTCAAAATAACTAAAATGTTTTTTTCCAATATTTCAAGCTTCATTTTAGAATATATATATATATATATTATTGAGTTCCTTTGAAAAAAGGCTACAATAGGCTGCCATCAACCTCCACATAGCAAATACTTTAAGGCTCATTTTTAATTTCATTGCTTGCCCAAGAATGGAAGCAATAAATGAGAACCATACTTTGTTATCCCTTTCATATGTAATCTGAAAAAATTTAGAAAATCTTGTATATATCATTAATTTTTGTGTGTGTGTGTGTGTGTGTGTGTGTGTGTGTCAAGGAATCAGTCCTAACAATAAAAATGGGACATCTTCAAATTGGAATTTTTGATATTGCCACTATAATATTGAAACTCATGCAAACAACAATTTGTGTTGTTAGGTCTCTATGCTTCGCAAAATGCTAGAACATCAACAACAGGTTCATGAAATAATGGAGCGTGTACATCATAAACATGACATTTCTGCTCTGTCTATATCAAACCACCTTCCTCCCAAGGTAACATTTCTTTTTTGTTTTTTTCAAAATAACTAAAATGTTTTTTTCCAATATTTCAAGCTTCATTTTAGAATATATATATATATATATTTGAAAAAAGGCTACAATAGGCTGCCATCAACCTCCACATAGCAAATACTTTAAGGCTCATTTTTAATTTCATTGCTTGCCCAAGAATGGAAGCAATAAATGAGAACCATACTTTGTTATCCCTTTCATATGTAATCTGAAAAAATTTAGAAAATCTTGCATATATCATTAATTTTTTTTTTTTTTGTGTGTGTGTGTGTGTGTCAAGGAATCAGTCCTAACAATAAAAATGGGACATCTTCAAATTGGAATTTTTGATATTGCCACTATAATATTGAAACTCATGCAAACAACAATTTGTGTTGTTAGGTCTCTATGCTTCGCAAAATGCTAGAACATCAACAACAGGTTCATGAAATAATGGAGCGTGTACATCATAAACATGACATTTCTGCTGTGTCTATCTCAAACCACCTTCCTCCCAAGGTAACATTTCTTAATTTTTTTTTTCTTCTTACATGTTTTGAAATATCACTATAATAAAATCATCTTGCATTGAAATTTATAATACTTTGAAGTTGAACAGGGCACCCCCTACAAGTCCCACAGTGGTTTCACCACTGATTACATGATCATGTTTTGAGATTTTTGTGTCTTAATTAATATGTTCAGCATATCAACTGAGAGAGTATTATTGTAGTGTTCCTCAAAAAGTTTCCTCTAAACAATGTTGAATATCATTCTTCTTGGTACCAAATTGAAGTGCAATAGGAAAAAAAATTTAAAGATAAATTCAACAAGAGTCAATTCAGGAACGCACCCACTGTATAGGATTACTTAACTTCAAAGGTCTACTTAGTTACTCTCCCATTCATGGTTTTTTAATTTTATTTTTGTTTTACTTTTTGGGTAAGTTATAGTCTTTAAAATATTTAGAACTAATAACTAACCACAAACTCAATTAGATCATAATGACTCCTTCAAATATAATTATAACTTCACTCTAACTTCTAGTTACACATATACATACATAAAGAGTAGTGATTTTTAAGCCAAATCGAAACGGAGTTACATGTTCAATTTGAATTGGACAACTATTTTTTTCATATACATAAATAGCTAAACTAGCTATCATAGGAGACTAATCAAACTAACCGTTCATAGTGTGGCATCTCTCAAATTAAAAATCAATTAATTTTCCACATTAGCGGACCCCAAAAAAAAAAAAAAAGGACACAAAATAAGGGGAATAAATATTTTGGAGAGAAAGGATCCCACCGTTTAGGCTTGCTTTGGCACAATTTATAAATCATATTTTTGTACTACTTTGAGATAATGTTGTTTTATTATTTTTTAAATCCATCTAGATTAGATGATCTTAAAAATTTGAAAAAATTAAAAATATTTTGAAAAAAAAATATTTTAAACATGAAAATAAATAAAATTTTATCAAAGTACCTTAAAAAATTTAAGCCGAAATTGTTGAAAAAAAAAAAAATTCAAAAAAAGAACCTTTACATGGATCATGATACAATTATATTTTAAAAAGTTATTCAGTATCACTTGTCACAAACACATTCTGACCTTTACTTTTTATGAAATTCATGTAAATCTCGTGTCAATACCATCTAGAATAATTGTTTGATGTACACTAATGAAATAATTGTTCTCACATATTTCATTGCTCTAGCCATGCACATTTCAACATTGACACACACTCTCTTGCATGGATTTTTTACAGGTGAAAGAGCTGCTGGCAGAGTTAGCTATGGTTGAGGATGAGATCTCTCGAATGGAAACCCAAATCAGCCAACTCCAATCCGAATTGAATCACGAAAAAGAAGTCATTAAAGAACATCATAAGATCAAACAATTGCAACAACAACAACAAAATGCAATGTCTCCAAACAACACTCGTGGTGGGTTTTCATCACTTTCACCAAATTTCAGTCCCAACAACAAAGTTGAGAGTGGAAGGATGCCATTCGAGACAAAGGCTTTGCATTTCATAAGTAAAGCGATAAAAGGCGATTACAGTTTGAATTATGAAAACTTTAGTAGTTTTAATGAGAGATTATTGTTAAGTAATAATCACAAGGAAAAATGCTTGAATGATGATGTTGGATTTCAAGACCACAAGGCTTTGAGGAAGAGTGGGATGCTTAAACCATCCTCACCACTGCGTGAGCCTAGACATCCAACCCCCAAGGTATGTCTCTTCACAACCACAACAACAATATATTACATGCAAAACAAAAAAAAATACTCAAAAAATTATTTAAAATTTCAATTGTGTGGATCATATTTATTATAAATATGACTCACAACACATCAAATTTGAATCTACACCATATATTTATTTTATGAATAAATTTTAAAATAAATTTTTTGAATTTCTATCTTTTTTATTACAACAATATTACAAACTAAGAATACCGATCACATAATCTTTCACAAACTTGTGGAACCCAAGATAAACCCTTGTAGGATTCATAGTGAGAAATTGTGTGATTGAATTTTATTTTTTTTTTGGGTAATTTTATTTAAGTATATATTTAGAAAAATATTTACAGATTAATGATAAATTTTATACATATTAGAAAATAAAATTATAATTTTTTTCAAGCATTTGTAATTAATTTTTAAAAAATCTCTGACACGTTATTTTCTCCTTTTATTTTTTCTTTTTTTTAATTACGATTTTTCTATTGGGAAATGATTTTCTTTGGTCCAGTGTTTTGGACCGACCAGAGAGTGTGCTGTTTGGGCTGTGGTGGATTCCATCATGGTCCATTTCTAAGACATTTATTTTGTTGCCCATTTCTATTTGAAAAAATTAAATCAATATAATTATATAATTTTATTATATTAAAAAAAATTTAACAAGTATAATTTTAAAATAAACTGTCTATTTTTATTTTTTTCAAAACAAATATAATAAAATTATAGAACTATACCAAGAGAGACTTGTAGTTCTAATTGTATTAATTTTTTTTTTTTTCATATTGTGTAAAATTCAACTTGAAATGGTCTAGTCCTTTGAAATAGATAATTTAGCCTTTGATTTTTTGTTCAATTTCCTAATGAATGTTATAGTTATATTAAATTGATATAATGTAAAAAATTAAATAACAAAATTGACATAAATAAAACTAGAGAAATTAAATTAACAAGTGACAAATTACAAGGATGAGATAGTGGGACTTTATGTTTTCAGAGAGAACATAACCTGGAGTTCACAAACCCAATCCAAGCAGAAGAAGAAAGCATCCAGAAGTGGTCACCAAACAAGCTATCAGAGAACATCATGAAGTGCTTGATCTTCATTTTTGTGAGGCTACTTAGAACTTCAAAAGCAATGGAGCTAGAGAAGTCAGGACCCATTTCAAGGTCTGCTAACTTCTCTTTAAGCTCAAGAAGCTTCCGGGTTGACACCATTTCCAACTCAAATGCAAGCTTGTTGCAGAAAGAGTTGAGGCAACAAGATCCTTATGGTATATTCACTACAGATGGATCCATCTCAAGGGACATTGGGCCTTACAAGAACTTGGTTATATTCACTTCTAGAAATTTGGATCCCAAATGCATCTCCAACTCTAGTTCCATTCCTCTGGTGCAAAGGTTAAGGTATGTCCCAAAACTTTTAGGGTGGGATTACAATAAATTATTTAGGAAAAATTGTTTCCTTTAACAAAACAAGTGGAACCCATATTGTTTTTTTTTTCCCAATAGTACACATAAGAAATTAAAACAATTTTTATTTATTTTTTTTTACTGCCAATTGAACGCATCATAATGGAGAGAGGTTCTAAATAATCCCACTTAATTTATCTCCACACCTCTGTATGCATAATAAATGTTGTACCATAGGGATAAATATTTGTACATATGGATCAAGAGAGAGATTTGATGGGTGTTTTTAGTAACTTTCCTTAATAGACATGTAGATATTGGGTCAAGCAGTCTTTCTAGGTAGTATTGTAATACTTTATCTGAGCAATGAATAGTTTTAGATGAAGTTGGATAAAAGTGAAAGATAAGATCAGTCCCATTTCATTTGTTCAGTTTTATTGGTCGGGATCACTATATCACCTATTGATTGATGATACCATATTACACCCAATATCTATTGAATCTATTGTTTAGTCTCTAATGCATATGCATTCTTGAAATTAAAATGTAATCTCTGTACTTCCTTTTTGGTGTTGTGGATTATACAGGGTTTTAATGAACAGTCTCCAGAAGGTGGATTTGAGACATTTGAATTACCAACAAAAGCTTGCATTCTGGATCAACATGTACAATGCTTGTATCATGCATGTACATATAGATGATTTAACAAAACTATTCTTTATTTTGTTTTTATTTTTTATTTTCCAGCATTTTTCTTCTTTAAATCCCTGATGTGTGCTACTCAAACTTTTTATTTTCAGGGATTTTTACAATATGGAGTCCCTTCTAATCCCGAGAAACTGCTTACATTGATGAACAAGGTATGTTACAAATGCCTCAATAAGCTCATAAAGTAATTCTATCCCCAACGAAAGTTACATTTTTTTTTTTTTGGTTGGAGAAAAATGAATCATTTAAGGTTCTTCAACAAAGTAGTCCATGAATTCAACAGGGCTAAGCTCGATTGCCCTACACCTCAACGATGACGTCAAGAGTCCAGGTCTTATAATAGGCAAGACTCCAATTTTTTTATACCACAACCTCCAAAAATATATATATATATATATATTTGAAATGAAGGGCCAACTAATTAGAAGGGGTAATTTCAATATATTCATTCTAAAAAATAGCTTGAGCGGTTGCATATTTAATTAATAATTAGAGTTGTAATTTTCAAGCTCAAACTAACTAACATGTTTGGCTTGAATTGGAACATGTAAGTCAATTTCGGGTTACAAATCATTCTTCTTTTAATGAGAATTTTGTGAGTGTTAGATGTCATGTGATAATTTCCTTCATTGTTATTGCCAGGTCCGGCCCTGAGATTTTCGGGACCCAAAGTCGATAATCAACTAATAAATTTTTGGGGTCTTTCATATTTTTTTTTTCATTGAATGAAAAAAAAATTTGAAAGTAAAGGATAAAATATTTGTGTCAAAATCACAAAAAATACTTAGCATTACATTACAATAACTAATAAATATCGCTTGATCCTCACTCTTCTTGTATTTTTAGAAGCAAATAAATCAATCATACTTGCATAATCTAATTTTTTTGCAAAATCATTTTCAATGAATAACAATGCTAATTATTTTAAATGGGCCTTTCGATTTTTTAATGGATTAATTATTTTAAGTTAATTTGAGGCTTCCTTAATTTTTTTTGGACTTAAAATATACTTAAATATATTAGACTAAACTATAATAAGAGAGACCCCTTTTTTTGGGTCTACTTTCCAATTGATAACAATGCTAATTTTTTTGAATGGCCTTTCAATTTTTTAATGAGTCAATTTATTTTAAGTTAATTTGGACCTTTTTTTAATTTTTTTAGGCTTAAAACATACGTAATATATTACATTAAATTATAAAAAGAGGGGCCCCCTTTTTTGAGTTTATTTTGAGGGGCCCTAGGCCATGGCCTTGTGGCCTATGCCCCAGGGCCGGCCCTGGTTATTGGATTTGATAGTAGAGTTTATTATATTTATATTGAGTATTTGAGAAACAGTATAAGACATGTGTATTTGTGATAGGTGAAAAATATAACTTGACAGTCGTGGTAACCTCCCATCATACAAAAATTTCTTAATTTTAATTGACCATTTGGAACAAAAAAGTACACATGCCCAAAAAAAATCTTAATTATATATTGTTCATGAAGTATGTGCTTTATATTATTTTAATCCGTAATATTTTAATTATATCATAAGAGCTGAATGTTAAGAATATGTCGTTTAAATTCAGGCGACGCTCAACATTGGAGGCAACACAATTAATGCTCATGCAATTGAGCATTTTATTTTGAGGAAACCAGCATCTTCAATCTTAAAAGAGGTACATATTGTTATTATAGTATTAATAAATTTAATTTAGCAATAATATATAAGAGGATATCATTTGTTATTGTGTTTGTTTCTTGTATGATCTTATGAGAAAAATGGTATTGTTAATTGTATGTATAGGTTAATAGAATGAGCGATAAAGAGGATAAAGAAGCCATTGTTAGACAACTTTATGGGCTGGACACATCAGACCCCAATGTCACCTTCTCTCTTTGCTGTGGCACTCGTTCTTCTCCAGCTGTAAGTCTAATTCAATTCAATTCCATGTCCTTTTTTGCAATTTATTAAATTTCAAAAAGATTTGTGGAGAGAAGTAAAAATAAAAGTTAGGTATATATATTTTTTTCTCCTTACAATTTTTTTTTCTCAATTTTAATATCCAAATTAAATTTAATTACACAATACATTTTTTGTGTACTTATATTTTATATTTATGTGCAGCTAACATTATGGTAAATAATTTTTTTTTACATAAAACCTATTTAAAAGGGTGTTTTCATGATATTTTTAAAATTATGAGCTACAATAACAAGTGTTTAAGCTTGAAATAATCAGACCAAGCCACATTGATAATTCAATTCACAAGAAATTAGATTCATATCTCGATATTACTCTTCATTGAAAACACTCATAATTTCAATAAAGCCATTGGTAGATTCTTCTACACCGACTTTTTGTATACATTTTACATAAGATTAGAATTTCTTATCTAGGCCTATTAAATCTAGGAGAAATTACATGTTAGAAGCCTTTGCAAAGATTAATTACAAATCTATAATAAAGTTTATGACTTCATCTTTTAATATTTATAAAGTTTACTATTAATTTGAAAATATTTTTCTAAATATACACTGAAGTGAAATTATTCTTTAAATTTATCAACAATGCTATGAACCTAGAAAATTTATCCATAATAATTAATGTGTGGTTGAGATTTGATTCAAAAGTGGATCCCACTATATAATAATTGAATCTAATGTCTTGTTTGGCATATACTAAAAAAGTCAAAAAGTCAAAAAATCACTATCCTATTTAAGTTATATCATCTTATTTAAGTCATATCACCTTTCTACCACATCACTTCAAACTCAACTCATATTTCATAAAAAGTCAAAAAGTACATTTATTTAAAACATCCCAAACAACTCCTAAATCACGCATTATTATTATTTTTTTAATCAATATTCTAAATAGTTAAATTTGTTAGTTTATTAGTAAAATTATTATACCACTTAAAAGAGTATCGAATCACTGACCTTTTCTCACTGCGTTACACACCAACTTGCCACAAGGGACTTGGCAACCACACATTACTTTTTCGGGGTAAAATTCTTAACAAATTTCCTAAAATCTTTTCTGTAAATTTATTGAACACTCCTCTGTTTCTTATCTTAATTGCTCATTGTTTTATGAGCAGGTGAGAATATACACAGCAGAAGGAATAGCAGCAGAGTTAGAGAAATCAAAGCTAGAATACCTTCAAGCCTCCATTGTAGTGACAAGCACAAAGAGGATTGCTCTCCCTGGACTTCTTCTTCGAAACATGCATGATTTCGCCAAAGACATGGAATCACTTATTGAGTGGGTTTATCACCAGCTTCCAACTTCCGGGTCTTTGAGAAAATCCATGGTGGATTGCTTTAGGACACTCAACCCTGCAAAGGTCTCTACCATTGTTGACAAAACCCCTTATGACTCTGAATTTCAATATCTCTTGTCTATATAAAATTTGAGAGTAATGTAATATACATAAACGAATTTATAATCAGATCAAAAATAGTGAGATTCATATTATTTATGTGGGATCCACGTTTTTGAGTTTGATGGTAAATAATTAAAAATTCGTTTATGTATTATCTCAAACTGTTATTCAGTGAAAACTTATTAGAGATATGTATGCAAAAGATGATGGAAGACATTATGCAAAGTTCAATAAAACTATGGCCAACATTTGAGAATTTGGCTATATTTCAGTTGATTTTTTATTTTTATTTTTTGAATATTTTATCAGATAAAAAAAAATTGTGTTTAGAATAATTTGTAGATTTTTTTTGTAGTTGAATAGATAATTGTGAAGAGATTCATATTATTGATGTGGGATCCACGTTTTTGAGTTTGATGGTAAAAAATTAAAAATTCGTTTATGTATTATCTCAACTGTTATTCAGTGAAAACTTATTAGAGATATGTATGCAAAAGATGATGGAAGACATTATGCAAAGTTCAATAAAACTATGGCCAACATTTGAGAATTTGGCTATATTTCAGTTGATTTTTTATTTTTATTTTTTGAATATTTTATCAGATAAAAAAAAATTGTGTTTAGAATAATTTGTAGATTTTTTTTGTAGTTGAATAGATAATTGTGAAAGAAAAAGTGATTGATAGGATGTGACATTTTATCTTACTGACTATTTTAACATTTTTTGTATTCAGAATTTTATCATACCTTGGAAAGGAATATATGTTAGCAAAAATTTGGTTTTGGTTAAATCGATAGAGTAGATTCGACAAACAAGACCAATTTTTATAAACAAAGACCAAATCAAGCAATTGTGGTTGGTGTCCTATACGTTGACAGAATCAATAACTTCTTTCGAGGTTGTAATGTGAAGAAATAAGGATAAACACACTGAAAATTTGATTAATAACACTTAAACTTGTTACTTAATTGCAAGAATCAAATTACAACTGCCAAGCATTACAATTGACAGAGTTCAATAACACTGGTTACAAAGATTAATGGTTAATCTACTCCTAATTACAAGAACTACTCCTATGCTATTTTAAACTACTCCTTGATTTTACAAGTGTTGTGAATTGGGTTGAAGATCCTTTTTTTCTTCCAATTTCCAGCTTTTATACTGTTGCATTGGCCAAGAAATATGGCCATGTGTCCACTTGCTAGCATCTCTCATTTGTCCATGATTTATAACTGCTATAACTACCTTCAATTCATTTTCTCATTAAAACAACCACGTGTCATGACTCTGATCTCTCTCTCCAGATCACCATCTTCATGCCTACGATTCTTAGACCCTTATTGCTTATATTCTTGCTCTCTGACATGTCTGTCGACAGAGAATTTTGAATTTTGATGCCAACAGTGGTGTGCACTAAATTGTTATAGGATGGGTCCTAAATTTGAAATAAATTGATCACATACTAATTTTTTTTAAACAAAATTTTGAATAAATTTAGATGGGTCTGGCTTCCCTTCAGTCATAGATCGGACTGGAGGGTACTGTTGGACCCGTGAGGGCTCATTACAGGTCTTTTTTTGATATTTTGAACCGTTTAATGTGTAGAACTCATCGAGTACTATAAGTTTATAAAAATCACATCGATCGGATATCAATAGTTATGTGATCAAATAAGTTTTGTATAAAAAAAATGGATGATGAAAAAATAAACGGTTGACAGAAATCTTATTCGATGAAATAACTATTGATATTCGATTAACGTGATTTTTTTACAGGCATATAGTACACAACGATTTTTACATATTGAACAGTTCGGATTATCGAAACAAGACCTGTGGTTGGCTTTCACGAGCCCAACAATACCCTCTAGCCCGATTTGGGACTGGAGGGAAGCCAATCCTAATTTAGATTATGTGGTCTTTTGGCGATATGGTAAAAAGCTGCGTTTGCAGCTTGGTTCTAAAAAAGTTACATTGGTTTTTTTAGCAAAAAATCATTTGGCAAGGTGAAAAAAAGTTACATATAAAATTACAAATATACCATTTATATTATTTAGGATTATACATGGGTGAAAATGTAAATTTTGTAAATTGGGTGGGGTAGTTTGGTCATTTTATTGTGATATGACATCATAAATAAATACTAACCAAAAAATTCAAAAGTAGCTTTTTATCAACTTTCCAAATCACTTTTCAAAAAAGTCAAAAAAATTGATAAAAAGCCAAAAATTAACTTTTTACCATCTTTTCTAAACACCCTTATGTTTATACTACACAATGTTTTTCTTTTCAATTTTATATTCATACTTAAATTTATAATCTAAATATAATTTTCATTTCTCAATATTGCTCAAATATTTAATGCACACCAATCAGTAAAATTTTGAAAAAAAAAAACCTCGTGTAGGCCCATCAAAAGCCCAATAGCACCCTCTAGGAATCCCAACAGAATGATTGATACTCTCTAGGAATCCCAACCAGATAATGAAAGTAGAGATTGTGATTTAGCGAAAGTAATTTAAAATAACAACCATGATAAAGACCCCTACTACCCTCACACACATGTGGGGGTTAGTAATTGAAGAGAGAAAAAAAAAAATTGACTAATGACTGCCCACTGGGAGTCCTGAGGTCTCCTCCAGTTGGGGTCCCAAGCATTAGGCTTAAAATAATTATGATTTTATGAAAGTAAGCAATTTAAGTAAGGGTGATTATTCAGTATTCTTGGAGTGTGGACACGTGTTACTGTATAAGGTTTTAATTGGTAAAGAGGGATAGGGGGCCACGATTTATGTTGGGGATAGAAAACAACGTGAAACTAAATAATTGGTGATTAACTTGAAGTATGATCGTGTAATGTTCCGAGATTATTAAATAATTTTCCTTCAAGTAAGATGTGTCTTATATCACAACAAAATTTTCTCTTACAGCAACAATAAACAATGTGAGACCATGAAATATCCTCTCACATGGATTGTAGGGATCCAACGAAGAGATGAACTTTGTCCCTGGTGTATCTGGAAAGATGAGCATGATCGGCGCCACCCAACCGGGGTTGCCTGTCGAAGACATTCCGGTGCTAAAGTTAATCCTTTGATTGAAAGAATAAAGCTATGGAAATCAAGAGTCTTGGTGTGTAGTGTACGGAGAGAGCACATACCTCATCTTCTGGGATGCCCCCTTTTTATATAGATTGGAGGGGGGTGTGATATTTGTTTGGGCTGGACCCATTGTAGGCCTTGTTTGGGTTAACCCCAATAAGCTGATATATGTTTTTTTTCTAGCTCCCACAATTACTCCAAAACATTCATTGTCTGCAGTAGAAGGAATGAGAGTTTTTATCGCTGAGTTATACTGTTCAAATAGATGTTAGGTCTCGTAACAAATAATACATTTGAAAATGAGTAACATGAATGCATGACTGGATGAATGCATATATGTATGAATATATGTATAGATGAATGTACAAATATATGTATAACTATATGTATATAAGGGAGAGAGGTGAGTTCCAAACAAATTATATCATAAGTGAGTCTACATTAGATATCTCTGTAACGATGGGCTACAGTATTATAACCCCCGAGTGAGGGTGTAGGCCGCAATATTATAACCCCCGGGTGAGGGTGAAGTATATTGCCGAGTGCGAAGAGTGCCTCAAAATATGGACTTTCGTGTCGAGCTAGAGAATTTCTATGTATCGAGCACGGAAATGATTTCCTGAACCAAATAATGTAGATTAAATAAAGTAGATATATCAACCAAAAAATGGACCACAGCATTATTACCCCCGGGCAAGGGTGTAGATCTGCGGTATTATAACCCCCGGGTGAGGGTGTAGGCCACGGTATTCTAACCTTCGGGCGTAGGTGTAGGCCTTTGCTGATGGCATTCCGTGCCAAGTGTGAAGATTATGCTGTACTCGGAGACTTTTGTGGATTTTAAGTGGCGATCAAGTGCCAATATTGCAAGGATTTTGAATAATGCATCCTGTGTCAGTGATGGCCTGTACCGAATGAGGTAGACGTGTTAATAATAAATAATATTGCTCCGCTTGTAAGGAATTGCCAAGTAGATATTGGGCCAACTATTTAATTGCCGAGTAAATTTTGGGATAATTAGCATCGCTCGGTTTGCGTTTAGTCCAATGTAGACTTGCCCTATTGCTTTCGAATGACAGGTGTTAGTCGGAAGGCATGCAGATTGGACATGCCCCATTGCCTTATGTTGTGGGGTAGATTTGGCTTTGGTAAAATGACGGCACATAAAAAATATGCCCACTGCCAAGTGTGTAATGTATTGCCCCAAAACTGGCGCGTGCTTGGAGCGGTGTGAAAAGGAGAGGGAGTTTGTAACTGAAGTAAATTTCGTTGTAATGTTGGTACCAAGTTGGCCGAGTATGCATGCATATCAGAGGTGCCAAGATGAGGATCGGCTGATTTGCCCCAATTAGAAAGCGAAAAATTGACTAAGATGTCTCAGTGGGCAATAAATGGCCAAGGTAATGAAATGAATGATCGGGGAAGACAGAGGATTATTTCTTAGCCCCAAGATCCTGCTGCAGAAAATGCATGCCCATTGGATCTGATTTGACCGTTGATTTTGTATTTCATGTTCTCGATTGGCCAATTTATTGAACTCAATATGCAACTCAAAATTTGCAAAATTAGACCGTACAGATGTATTCAGAAGGTGCCAAATAGTTGAAAACGACTATTGGATCGTTGGAATCGGACCCCTGAGGACGTAATTACAGCCAACAATAGATCAGACGGATTAGATCGATAAAGAATCGAGCTCTGTGAAGCACTGGATAATTTCTCGGCTTGGCTTGGTGGCTTTGGCAAAAAATAATTTAAAAAATATGGAAAAATGGTGCCAATAAGATTTGAACCCTTGCCTTTGGAAGGAAGAAAGAGTACTGAACCATTGTGCCAAGACAAAACCTTGTGTTTTTATTTGGCAAAGTATATATTTGAATGTCATTGTTCAGCTATTATGGGATGTAACTTAGCCACGATGCACCGAATGATTTCTTTTGTTTTCCATGGTCGTCTTATTCGACGTGAATTTCTAGGCAAACTTCGACTAGCTCGTACGACTTCGTTTGAGCTCCGATTTTGACACGGTTTGTTGTGTTGGACTTGTCTCAATGAGTACTTCACGCTGGAATGGTCAAAACTTGAGTTTGATAGCTTCAGAAATTTCAGGTGCCAAAGAATGTGATCCGTATC